CACACAAACCTGGTCTAACACAATCAAAGTGAAGGCAGTGTGGAATGGAAGAGTTAACTGTCAAACAAATGCTGTCTGAACACTCTAGATTTCATAAAGAAAATTAAGTAGCACTTTGTAAAACAGTGCACAATTTCCCATGCTAATGTAATTTCTGTTTCTGAAGGTTTTTTTGGGTCCAGTCGTGGGGCGCTGTCCCTTAGCTCTTCAGCTCAAGGTTAGAGCTCTACCAGTTGAGCCACAGCGCCACTTCCGGCTTTTTTCTTTTTGCTTATATGGTGCTGAGGAATCGAACCCAGGGCCTCATGCATGCAAGGCAAGCGCTCTACCACTGAGCCACCTTCTCAGCCCCTTCTGAAGAGTTTTACATAGGATCTGTTTACTCATAGTCCTTTGATGACTGATCATATTGTTCAGTCTTCCCTCCAACCCTTCCACTTGTGATCTCTATGAAAGTTAAGCCAGGTGTATGGTGGTGCACACCTGTAATTCCAGCAAGTACTGTGCCAATTAGCTACCACCCCAATCCCCTAAGTGACCTTTTTTTTGTTTTTGTTTTTGTTTTAAGGCAGGATCTTTTCTTTTCCTGTGTGGAGAGTATTAAAGTACTCTCATTTATTTTAACCATGGCATTGTTTTATTTTCACAACATATTTTTCCCCTCAAACCTCTCTGAAATTAGACTCATTTGTAAATATTTCATTTTACATTATAACTACTTCCTAAACCACAAAGACTGAGCTGCCCATTGACTTGTACAGATGCAACTTCATTTATTTATTTTCCCAAAGCCATCTTTTTGTCAGCAATTAAAAAAAAGTTTTCAAATAACTTTCCAACAAGAAGATAGTAAATTCTTACTACATAATAATTAGCCCAAGCTGGTCTCAATCTTGAAATCTTGTTGCCTCATCTTCCCAAGAGCTGGAATTACAGGTATGAGCCAGAAAACCCTGCTACCAAATGACTTTTATTTTAAAGTAACAGTTTGATATATAATTCAAACACTATAGAACTTACCTAAACCAGCTGGGCGCCGGTGGCTCACACCTATAATCCTAGCTACTCAGGAAGCTGAGATCTGAGGATCTCGGTTCAAAGCCAGCACGGGCAGGAACATCTGTGAGACTCTTATCTCCAATAAACCACTAGAAAACCGGAGGTGGTGCTGTGGCTCAAGCGGCAGAGCACTCACCTTGAGCTGAAGAGCACAGGGACATCGCCCAGGCCCAGAGTTCAAGCCCCACGACTGGCAAAAAAACCCAAAAAACAACAACAAAAAAACTTACCTAAATCATACAATTAAGCCATTTTAGTAATATGTATAGCATTGAACAGCCATCATCACAATCTATTTTAAGCAATTTTTCAACCTCTAAAAATACTCTACAACTAAGACTACTTGTTTGAAAGAACTGACCCCTACCAGCTAAGAAAAAGAATGTTTCCAAACTTTTATTCAGAGGTGAAGGACATTACATTGAAATTGACCACAGTGAGAGTATTTACAGCACTGAAATTGGAAAATGCTACAGAGTGGGCCTTTTCCTCCCTCTGGAGTGCTAACACTTTTCATTATTTAAGAACACAACACTAAATCAAACACACCAGACAAGTTGGCTGTATGTGCCTTCTGGTGTTATATAACAATGACACTGCATAATTTTTTATGGTTTTCTGCCAGAATACACAATCTCAATCTAATGAGAAATAACAGGAAAGAAATAAAAATGGAGCGATATGCTATGAAATAACTGCCTGGAGGTATAGCAGTGGAGTACTGGTCTCATAAGCATGGAGTGCTTGTGAGGAGAGAAGTAGGGGGAGGTTGATCTTGCACCACCAAATTGTCCGAGTCAGAAAAGACAACATAACAACCAGGACTAAAACAGTATTTCAGATTTAGAAAACCAAGCACTGGTCTCATGCCTGTGACTGATACCTGTAACCCTAGCTATATAGAATGCTGAGATCTGAAGGATTCAAAACCAACCCAGCCAGGAAAGTCCTTGAGATTCTTATCTTCAATCAACCACCAAAAAGGCAGAAATGTATCTGAAAGCAGCTGAGGGACAGCATGGAGTTCAAGCCCTGAGTTCAATTAAGCCCTAGTACCAACATATACACATACACACACTTTTTAGATTAAAGCAGACTACACAAATTGACAACTAAATGTAAAATATGATCTGGTTGGATCCTAGCAAGAACAATGTTAACTTCCTGATTTGTTAACAATGTCAACATTAGCTTCCTGATTTTGGTCACTGCACTAGAATTTGTAGAATGCTCCCAAATGCATACAAAGCACACGATGTGCCCTAACACGATATGTAAAAGCACAACATGCTTCACTACACTCAGACGGCACAAAGAAAGGAAAACTGTTAGTAAAGGAGAAGCTGGATGCCAGTTTTTTGTAGTATTCTGGGAGCTTTTCTGTGACTATCACATTATTTAAAACTTTAAAGAAAGAGAAAAAAAAAACAAACTAAAACTATGCACACTACCTGGTCTTCTGCCGTTAGCCTGAAGCCTCCAGGATGGCATGGTGGAGGGAGGAGGTGAGCAAGGAAAGGTCTTCTCTGACTTTAAGGGTCCGCTGGGCTGCCCCCACGCTGCCACGTTGCCCTGGGGTCGCCTGAGCAGGCACAGGAGGTGGGCTGTCTTAGCTCCTTTCCTCACTCACCTGCCTGCCCTGCCCTGTGACTGGCTAGGAGCCACACGACATCACATCCTTTTCCACAGATGCTCATGCTTACTGCTCACCTGCTCACGTATCTGCAGGGGCCACAGGTGCAAGGACACCACCGCAGGTGTCTGTGCTTATCTAGAGACAAAGGAGAAAGCTCTAAGAGCTCCTGATCAGTAGTGATACATGTTGGCTCGTCAATGCTGACCACTGGTTATCTGAAGACATATTTCTCTCATAAGGACATGATAACATATTACTCAATAAATTGTGGTTGCTGTAAATCATTCAAAAGAACCTGCTTTTCCTCCCCCAGTATGCTAGTGTTTATTTATGCAGTGCTGTCCCTGAGCTGCTTTTTCTTTTTTTTTTTTTCTTTTCTTTGTCAGTCGTGGGGCTTGAACTCAGGGCCTGGGTGCTGTCCCTGAGGTCTTTTGCTCAAGGTTAGCATGCTACTATTTTGAGCCACAGCTCCACTTCTGATTTTCTGGTGGTTAATTGAAGATAAAGAGCCTCATGAAACTTTCCTGCCCTACTGGCTTTGAACTATAATCGACAGATCTCAGCCTTGTGAGTAGGTAGGTTTAAAGGCATGAGCCACCAGCTGGCTGTCCCTGAGCTCTTTTGATCAAGGCTAGCACTCTACCACTTGAACCACAGCTCCATTTCTGGCCTTATATACATATATATAATTTTTTTTGTCAGTTGTGGGGCTTGAATTCTGGGCTTGGGCGCTGTCCCTGAACTCTTCAGCTCAAGGCAAGTGCTATACCGCTTGAGCCACAGCAGCACTTCCAGTTTTCTAGTGGTTTATTGGAGATAAGAGTCTCATGGACTTTCCTGCCCAGGCTGGCTTTGAACCTTGATCCTCAGATCTCAACCACTTGAGTAGCTAGGATTTCAGGTATGAACCAATCAGCGCCCTGCCTTGGTTTTATTATATTTTTTTGGTGGTTAATTGGAGATAAGAGTCTCATGGACTTTCCTGCCTGGGCTGGCTTTGAACCCAAATCCTCAGATCTCAGCCTCCTGAGTAGCTAGGATTACAGGTATGAGCCACTGGCTCCTGGTATCTTTCATGTTTTTAAAATAGTGTCCTCAAGAGCCCAAATTTTTCTGCCACACACTACTACCAATGAGAGTCTAGTAGTGATGGGAATCTGAGCTAGTATCAGCTTGCCACTCCCTTGAGGGTGTGTTTCTTGGTTTTCCTATTATCAATTAGTTGGTAATTGCAGGAAAATGTGTTCCAGCCTTATAATACCTGCTCTGATCCACAGCCTCTGCCCAAAGAACATCAGAAGACAGGACAGCAGGGTACTGTGCCTCCAGCACGTAGCAGGTATTGTGCTTTGCCACTTACAGGGTTCTATTTTCTGTTGAAATCTCATTCTTAGGAAGAAAGGAATGTTGTTTGAATTTGAGAGTGAAAACTAGTGTGTTGTACATTAACAAACCAAGGTGCTACTACATGTGATTGTAGTTGCTCTTGAAAATCTCTTCATTCAATCAGTGAAGGAAGACATCTTCCATTCTCTGACCTAGCACTTGGCACATAGGAGGTTCTTGTTAAGTATCTGAATGGCTTCAGAATGTCCTATACATCCTGAAGAACTGGAGTATCATTCTCCCATTACCTAAGACTGAAGGAGTTTACTTCCTACATTGGCACTGCCATTATGAAAGAAAACCTGTATTTTTACTGTTTGGGGAAGAGATTCTGAGGAAGAAGAAGCTAAGGTTCCTCAATATTCTGAATGCTGTACAGTAAAAGGATATCAAGTAACAAAATTATAACCTGTATTCAGTGTGTATGTGTGTATGTGTGTGTGTGTGTGTGTGTGTGTGTGTGTGTGTGCCAGCACTAGGCTTGAACTCAGAGCCTGGGTGCTGTCCCTTAGCTTTTTCACTCAAGGCTCTACCACTTGAGCCACACCTCAACTATCAGCTTTTTGGTGGTTAAATGGAGATAATCACAGACTTTCCTGCCCAGGCTGGCTTTGAACTGCTATCCTCAGATTTCAGCCTCCTGAGTAACTAGGATTACAGACATAAGCCACCCGTGCCTGAATATCTGCATTAATTTTTACACTATACTGATAGTAGCTGATGATCAGTTTCTCTGGGTAGGATTTTGAAGTGAAAAGTGTGATAGGAAGAAAGGACAAGTGTTTCAGCTTCTCAGACAGAAATGTCAAACAAATGAAGACAGAAGTACACAGAATCAATAGAATATTGGGAGAGAGAGTAAATAGTTTCTAGAATGATTTACAGTAACCACATTAATCTATTGTTACTAGAGAGAAAAATGTCTTCAGATAACCAGTGGTCAGCAGGTAAGGATGAAGGCCCATTTTCCCGACTGATCAGGAAGTCTAAGGACTCCCCGTTTGTCCCTGTAGGTAAGTACAAATCTTGGCTGAATAGTGGAAATCTGTACAGGCACGATATGCATGTACATAGAGTGTTGTAACACTGCAGAATGTTTGAGGATTGAAATGTTCCAGAGAATTGAAGTTTTCAGCTAATTAAAGCTGGGTGCTGGTGGTTTATGTCTATAATCCCAGCTATTCAGGATGCTAAAATCTGAGGATTACGGTTCAAGCTTAGCCCAGACAGGAAAGTCCGTGAAACTCTTATCTCCAATAAACTACTCTGAAACAGTCAGACATAATGCAAGAGTTCAAGTGGTAAAGTGTTACTAGCCTTAAGTCAAAGAAACTCAAGGACAATGCCCAGGTCCTGAGTTCAAGCCCCAGGACCAGCACAAAAAAATAAAAATAAAAAAAGCTAATTCTAAGCATGAATATGAGTTGACCTTTGATAATAATTTCTAGGATATGGTAACAACCCAATAAATGTTTGCTATCATTATTGGAAGCATCAAATCTGAGTGCACGTTATCCATTCCATTAAAGGTCTTTCTGTAATTATTAGTTCCCAGCCTATCCCAGAATTAATCTTTCCTGTCATGATTCAGAAATAGCAGCTCCAACAATTTATTATGCTGTCATAAACTGCCAAAATGTTTTTTTGTCCAGTAACTCTAACTTTTAAGTTAGCACTATTGTTTATAGATTCTTAAGTTTTTTTTCATTACTATTAGAGTAGAATTAAAAATGTCTATTTCTTTTTCTGTGGAAGTGAGATATACAAGCTTGGAAGGTCTATGAATCTATTCTGGGTAAAACTTTGTGGGAAATCCGGGGCCTATCGGTACACTTGGAGAGCATGAATTTTGTGGGGCTTTTTTTTTTTTTTTTCCTGGGCCTGGGGCCTGGGCTCTGTCCCTGAGCCTCTCTGTGCTCAAGGCTAGCACTCTACCACTTGAGCCACAGCACTACTTCTGGCTTTTTCTGCTTATGTGGTACTAAGGAATCAAGCCCAGGGCTTCATGCATGCTAGGCAAGTACACTACCACTAATCCATATTTCCACCCCATGTGGGGCTTGTTTTGACTGTTCAGTTGTCCTACTTGCTGACTTCCCATATATTCCAGATATTAAGGTTGACGGATAAGTAAACTCTGCGTTAAAGAAGTGGTACTACGATTACATCTGAAGTATTAGCTCCTTTTTACTTTCCCCATGTTTAGTATCTGTTTACATCTTCAATAAGAACTATATGTAGGTGGGCTTTCAAACAATCCTAGCCAGGTATCAGTGGCTCATGCTTATAAACCTAGCTATTCAGGAAGCTGAGATCTGAAGATTGAGGTTCAAAGCCAGCCTAGGCAAAAAAATCCTTGAGACTCATCTTCAGTTAACTACCAAAAAGCTGGAAGTGGAGCTGTGGAAAAAGGAGTACAGTGGCAGCCTTAAGCAAAATCTGGACACTAAAAATAACTTTATTAGACCTGGGTTACATAAGTGTGTAAGGATATTAATTCCATAAGATATTTTAATTTTTTTCTTTTTCTTTTTTTTGTCAGTCATGGGCCTCGAACCCTGGGCCTGAGCACTGTCCCTCAGCTTTTCAGTTCAAGGCTAGAGCTCTACCACTTGAGCCACAGTACCACTTCCTCCAAAAGATATTTTAAATAGGCCAGACATGCCTATAAACCTAGCTACTCAGAAGACCAAGCTTTAGAAGTTAGTATAGCCAGAAAAGTCCATGAGACTCTGTCTCTAAAATAACTATTAAAAAGCAGGGCAGGAGGCAAAGTTATAGAGCACCAGTTGATCAAGCCAAGCAAATGTAAGGTTTTGAGTTTCAACTTCAGTACTGTCCCCCCCAAAATATTTTAAATAGGTATAAGTTATATGCTTCCATTAAGTGTAATCTCAGCTCTAGCAATTTCTTGTCATTATTTACATATGAGTTTCACTGAATTTAGGAGGATTTAGGAGGCTGAGGCAAAAGAATCACGCTCAAGCTTGCCTAGACTACACAGTAGGAACTCATTGTAAAGGCAAAATAGGCCAGGAGCTGGTGTCTCATCCCTGTAATCTTAGCTACTTATGAGGATGCAGTTGAAAACCAGCTCAGGCTGGAAAGTCTATGAGACTCTTACCTTAAGTTAATGACCAACAAGATGAAATTAGAACTATGACTTACGTGGCAAAGTGCTAGCTTTGAACAAAAAAGGGACAACGTCTAGTTGCTGAGATCAAGCCCTAGGACCAGCACAAAACAAAACACACCTCAGTTTAAATATACGCAGATCCCTGTAATGAACAGATTAATCACTGTGCCTGTTGTAAATTAAATTATTTTTCTGGAGACAGGGTGATTAAAGCACAAAGATTGAAGTGTTCCCAGCTAATGCAATTATACACAAACCACAGAAATACTGTGAAGAACAATAATAGTTCTGACTTTAATCTCTCTAAAAGATACAAAAACCAATTTAAGTAAGACCACAACCTTGATTTGCTCAAGGGAAGAAAACCAAACTTTTGCTAGAAATAATGACAACATTTATACATATATATATATATATATATGTATATATATATAATTGAATAGTGTAGCTATTGTTTTTTGTTGTTGTTATTGTTTTGTCGGTCACGGGGCTTGAACTCTGGGCGTGGGCACTGTCCCTGTGCTCTTCAGCTCAAGGCAAGCACTCTACCGCTTGAGCTACAGTACCACTTCCGGTTTTCTAGTGGTTTATTGGAGATAAGAGTCTCACGGGCTTTCCTGCCCGGGCTGGCTTTGAACCTTGATCCTCAGATCTCAGTCTCCTGAGTAGTTAGGATTACAGGTGTGAGCCACTGGCGCCCGGCTAGCTATTGTTTTTTAAACAATATTTACAGGGTATCCTGTTACAGGATGATGTGTCTTATGCAGACAATTTTTAAAACTTTTAAAATTGATTATCTTAAATCACGTCTACCATTATAAACACGATCTATTGGACTGGGGCTATAATTAAATGGTAGAGCATGCAAAAGGCCTGGCACTGAACAATAAAAGGGCCCTAGCACTGAGCCATAAAAATATAAATAAATACAATTTATTTTTTCATTCAGAATTGTCTTATGATCACTGTTAAGTTCTCAATATACATTATATATCCTTAAAGTCTGTAGACCCAGTGTGGTGGTACACACTGTAACGCCAGCTACTTGGAAGGAATAGATCAGGAATATTGTAGTGCAAGGATAACCCAGAGGAAAAAACTTAGTAACTTTTTTTTTCTCTCAACAAAAAAAAATCTAGTTATGTAATCCCAGCTAACTGGGTGTAATAAAGTTCTCTGTCAAAGGCCAGCCACAGGAAAAAACACAAAACAGTATCTGAAAAATAAACTAAAGCAAAAAGGATTGGAGACAAGGCTTAAGTACAAGCCTTTACTGCTCAGTAAGCATGAAACTATGAATTCAAATCCTAAAGTAGCATAAAAAATTTTTCTGTATTGACAGATTAGGTTTGCTTCTTTCATTTGAATTCCTATGTAAAAGTTCCTATGTAAAGGTATGTATATTAATACTAGGTGTTCTTGCAAAAAAATTTTTTATAAGTAGACAAGTTTTCTTCTGTTTGGTTTATTTGCATTGTTTTGTTTTTCGTGGGAGACAGTGTAGCCAAGAACATTTCTGTGTCACTTTCTAAATTTTTCTTTTGCTTATTTCCTTGTAGTATATTCTCTAAAGTAACAATTCTAGGTGAGGCAGCATTAAAGTTTACTGTCACTTTTATTATTTCTTTCCCTCTCTCTCTCTTACAATAGAGCAATGTCTCTTTCACTTTACCAGATTTATTCCTTATTTGATAAGAGAGGAACAAAGCTAAACATTCAAAAGCTATGTTTGTGGGATCAGCTCTTTTATAAGCTAAGTGGCTAGCGCCAGATAATGATCTTGTAGTATGAACAACTGGAAATCAGGCATCAGGAAACTACAAGTTTCCATATGATTCCGTGTATGATTCAAGTTACAAAACTTATATAGTTTTGAGGGTTTTTTTGGGGGGGAGTCAAAAGTACAAATATTAAGTCCAAGAATATTAAGGACCTACCTTAAGCTCTGGTACATCCAATTTAACAGTGTTCTTTTTGTTTTAATACTTGAGTTTCCTTTATTCGGTCATTTATATATGATAACTATAAATGCAGCACTTGGTTTCTCTCTCAGTTGTTTTCAATGATTTTGCCAACAGCACACACCATTTGATCTTGTGCCAGAGCCTTTCTACCTCACTATACTAATTTCTTTCTGTGCTGGGCTCTGCCCTGATTCTGTCACTCACAATGTGTTCTTAGGCTAGGAAGCTAAACAGGCCTCACATGGTGTGCCAGCGCTGAACATGTATTTTTACCATCTGGGTTGAGATGGTGAAACTGGCTGTGCCTGAGTTCCATCCATTACTAAGGACTGTGATTGACTAGTAATGTCTGCCATGGCAGACATGCCAGTCACGGATTCAGAAGAGACCAAGACCTATGTTCTACCCTATCTTCAATACAGGCTATATAGTCTCTTTGACCAGATGTATGAGAGGCATTTTGAAGGCCACATAGCACCAAGTGGCTTCCCAGAACCTGAATGGAAAAATGAAAGTCCAAGCTATAGGCAGGTCAGGGCAGCGCATGGGGGATCTGATCTGCAGTTTATAGGCTCTGCTGGTATGAGTTTCTTATCTTCTGAACTGTGCCTTGTCTGAAGGTCTAGATAAACTGACTGGACCTGAGTATTAGAGGCAAGTTGGAGAAAGACTTTTTGTGTGTGTGCCAATCCTATGGCTTGAATTCAAGGCCTGGGTGCTGTCCCTGAGCTTCTTTTTCTCAAGGCTAGTACTCTACCATTTGAGCCACAGTACTACTTTTGGCTTTTTCTGAGTAGTTTATTAGAGATAAGAGTCTCACAGACTTTCCTGCCTGGGCTGGCTTCAAACTATGAAACAGTGGTCCTTTGATCTCAGCCTCCTGATTGCTTAGGATTACAAGTGTGAGACACCTGTACCTCGTTGAGAAGGTCTTCTTTCCATGGCACTTACCTAAAAATGACCTGATCCTCTGGATAAACCACAAATTTTCTCCAAATGAAACAAGCCTCCCTTCTAGCATGACCTAGTTAAATATCAATCTTGATTTTTTCTTTTTTTTTTTTTTTTTGCCAGTTGTGAGGCTTGAACTCTGGGCCTGGGTGCTGTCCCTCAGATCTTCAGTTCAAGGCTAGCACTCTACCACGTGGGCCACAGCACCCACTTCTGGCTTTTTCTGCTTATGTGGTACTGAGGAATCGAACCCAGGGCCTCATGCATGCGAGGCAAGCACTCAACCACTAAGCCACCTTCCCAGCCCAGTCTTGATTTTTAATCAGGTTTAGTTTTGGAGAACACAGTCTGAGCAGACATCTCGCAGGGGAGCAGAGCTTCCCTTTCTCCCCCACAGTCTGGAGTAGGGAGGACTTGATACAGCACACTTTGGGATGTTGTGGGCTCTGTGTGCATGTCCAGGTATCTGTTGAGTCCTCCATTCCATGCTCACTTCCAGATCCTTTCCATTTACCACTTGTCTTGAGTGTTTTCAAAGGCCACCTGTGCCAGAGTCATCTTGTCCAGACAATTTTGATTCTCCTCCTTCTTTCTGCCCATCCCTATAACTTCTAGGAGATTCTCTGTGTCTCTTTTCTTTTTCTTTTCTTTTCTCTCTCTCTCTCCTTTATTTCTTTTTCTTTTATTTCTTTCTTTCTTTTTCTTTCCTCCCTCCCTCCCTCTCTCTCCCACTCTCGCTCTCTTTTTTTCTTTCTTTCTTTCTCTGCTTGGTCGGCTGAACTCTGTGGTGTGCTTTGGCCTCAGGATCTCCTTCTGGACCTCTTCATACCTGTTCATAAGCCAAACGATGCCCTCCAAGAAGAAAATTCCACCCTTTCCTCAAGTGACAAATCAGTCAAAACACAAGTATACTAAAAATATGGTATAAAATTAACTCAGTCTCTACAATAAGGTATATATGAATCTCATGTTTAGACTTGGGTCCCATCCTCATGCACTCCTTATGTGTATACAGGTATTCCAAACTCTGAAAATATGTTCAGGTACCAAGCATTTCAGATAAGAGTTACCTGCTTGTCTTCTAGGCACTCCTCTTATACAGTCTTTTGTTTAACTCTCTAATAGGAATTCTTGCTTGCTATTTACCTAACTTATACCTTTAAAATTCACAGGTCTAGCAGGTTTTGTGACTGTGGTGTCATATGGGCTTTACAAGTTAAAGTACAAAAGAGATGAGAAAGTATCCATTCATCTAATTCACATGCGAGTTGCTGCCCAAGGATTTGCTGTAGGAGCTGTGACTCTAGGTAACCTGTTTAATTTGTCTCTTATGTTCATCTGTTTTTCAGAGTATTCATGCTCACTCTGTTCATCCACAATAGCAGATTCATATTGTGTTAAGATAATATCATGGTTACCAGGCATTAATGGCTCATGCAGATGCCAGTGGCTCACACCCGCAATCCCAGCTACTCAGTAGTCTGAGATCTGAGGATTGTGGTTCCAAGCCAGCACAGGTAGGAAAGTCCATGAGACACTTATCTCCAAATCCTAAAAATATGTCTCTGGAACAAAAATGATCTTCACTGAGATTAAGAAGAGAGAAAGGGCAGATTTGATAGCTTATCTCAAAAAAGCTACAAATGAGTAATAGCCACTGCCTTATTTATTTATTGCAAAATAAATCTTTCATGACTTTCTAATGTGTACTATAATTTAATTGATCTCTAACATCAGAATTCAGATCATGAATGGCTGACAGCATATTTTTGGAAGTTTCTGATTTAAGTGAAACTGGCTTGTGGTTAAGTGAATATAATCTTACAAAAAGAATAGTCATTGTTTGCTCTTTCTGTGATATGATTGGATTTAGTAATGGTCAATATTTCAGCAAGATAGAGAATAGTTAGAGAATAATAGCATCTCTGATTGGTTTTATATTGAGATTTATATAGCTAATTATAAGAACATCTTTAAATACTGGGGAAATCTCTTCACTGTCTCAGAAACAAGCAAGATTAACTCATTTTAATTTATGATCATTAACCTGTTAAAGGCAATGGTTGATGATGAGGAAGCAATGTCTATATTTTTGGTCTTAACTAAGCCTGTTTAATTAGAATTCCATGTGTCTAAAATATTTTATTGAAAGGTATTTATTGTGGCTTATGTATAAATGTCAAATAAAGAATATTTAACACTTCCCACATTTTATAGTTGATCTGTAAGTTCAGATGCTTTTAAAAGTGGCCATGATAGATAAAATAGCAACTTGATTTTTTAATTCTTTACTAAGATAGACTAGGTTATAATTCAGGATTGTCTTTAAGCAGCTATTTGGAAACACAAGTGTGCAACTACTATGTATGTGTGTTTGATAGTGGTGCCTTTTGCCAATTTCCTAGAGAAAATGATTCAAAGTAGAGGAGATCATTTGTAAATTATTTGGCCGTAAGACTTAAGGTAATTAAAGATAAACACATAAAAAAAAAACCTGGTGGGGCTGGAAGGTGGCTCAGTGGTAGAGTGCTTACCTTGCATGCATGAGGCCCTGGGTTCGATTCCTCAGCACCACATAAGCAGAAAAAGCTGGAAGTGGGGCTTAGGCTCAAGTTGTAGACTAGTACAGCTGAAGAGCTGAGGGACAGCACCCAGGCCCAGAGTTCAGGCACTATGACTGACACACACCAAAAAACAAACAAGAAAAAAAGAAAAACCTGGTAAGAATGAACATGGTCCCATTAGTGAACTAGAAAATGCGTGGTTATCCTCTATAATAACAATAGTGGAGGGCACAGTTGCATATGTCTGTAAACCCAGCAACCCAGGATCTCAGGTTCAAGGTCAACCCTGGTAAAGTTGGCAAGACACTATCTCAAACACAAACTAAAAACAAAACAAGAAGGGGCATAGCTTAAGTGTTACTGTACTTGCCTACAAAGTTTAAGGCCCTGGGTTTAATTACCAGTATTGGGGGAAACAACAACAACAACAACAACAATAAGGGAAGGAAGGAAAGAAGGAGGAAAGGAAGAAGGAAGGGAGGGAAAGCAGGAGGGAGGGAGGCTACCTCATCTATAAAACTCACTGAGAGCAGTAGCTAAATTTCCATGGGCTGGGAATGTGGCTTAGTGGTAGAGTGCTTGCCTGGCATGCATGAAGCCCTGGGTTCGATTCCTCGGCACCACAGAACAGAAAAGGCTGGAAGCAGTGCTGTGGCTCAAGTGGTAGAGGGCTAGCCTTGAGCAAAAGAAGTTCAGGGACAGCCCAGGCCCTGAGTTCAAGCAAAAAAAAATTACAGCCTCTAAATTCTCAGCCTATTTGAATAGCAGCTGTAGTTTAACTGGGAAAAACATTTTCAGAAGGTCAACAGACTTGTTGAGTTTGATGCTTTGCACAGTGGCAGATTCATAGCCAGTGAGGTTTACTAAGGTGCAATTATTGCTAACTGAAAACTGTTCACAAATATGAGGTAAATCTTTTTAACATTAATTAATAAATTAAGACCTACATAGTCAAATCCAAAGAAAAGGTATAAAAGTGTTGTGGCTAATTAGTTAACCAAAGTTAAATTTGCTAGCTATCCAACTGTATGGACATAACAAGAAGACAACTTGGGGGGTAAATTATCCAATTTTTTGTTGTCTATATTAATGAGAAAAGTTACAATGTCCTCTGGTCAGAGTACAGTGGGCCTACAGCTAGGTCACAGATCATTCCATGAAGGGCATAGGGCTTAGGAACAGGAACTTATGTAAGGTCATTTTATTTTATTTTATTTTTGGGTCTGGTCGTGGGGCCTGAACTCTGGGCCTGGGTGCTGTCCCTCAGCTCTTCAGCTCAAGGCTAGTGCTCTACCACTTGAGCCACAGTGCCACTTCCAGCTTTTTTTCTTTTTGCTTATGTGGTGCTGGGGAATCGAACCCAGGGCCTCATGCATGCAAGTCAAGCGCTCTGCCACTGAGCTACCTTCCCAGCCCAAGGTCATTTTATTATAAACTGCACTATGAGGATTTTGAACCAACTACAAGAAATCTTACTCCAAAGTAACAGCCCTCATATATATATATATATGTATGAATGTATTTATGTATGTATGTATATATGTATGTGCCAGTGCTGGGACTCAAACTCAAGGTGTCGGCAATGTCTCTTAGTTTTTTCTCTCAGGGCTGGTACTCTACCACTTGAGTCACAGCTCCACTTCAGAATCATTTTAGTGGCTAAAAGGAGATAAAACAGTGTCATGGACTTTCCTGCCCAGGCTGGCTTCTAATAGCTGTACTCCCATTTCAGCCTCCTGAGTAGCAAGGATTACAGACATGAGCCACCAGCTCTGCTTCACTTTAATACTACATCTTTATGAAGTATTCATTTCACTTGTGTTGTTATCCTCTATTCACAGGACACAACCTTGTATGAGATTTCCACAGTATCAGCCTCATGGCAGTGAGGGTTAGGAGTGTCTTCTTGGACACTAGAGATTTTAGGCCCCTCCCAGAGCTTTGTGTTAGGAATTAAGAGCCCTGAGCTTATTATTTTCTAAATAACTAAACTCATTCTATGGCTTAATTCTACTAAATGTTCTATGGCAGTAGCTACCAGATAACTTATAAACTGGCTTAGAAATACTTGAATCAAGTATTGAAAGGTGATAATTTAAGAAAGTGAGACAGGCACTGGTAGCTCACTCCTGTAATCCGAGTTACTTAGGAGGCTGAGATCTGAGGATCGTGGTTCAAAGCCAGCCCAGGCAGGAAAGTACAAGAGACTTATCTCTAATTAACAAGCAGAAGACAGGAAGTGGAGCTGTGGCTCAAAGTGATAGAGCACTACCTTTGGGCATAACAGCTCAGGGACAGCCTCCAGGCCTGAGTTCAAGCCACACAACCAACAAATCAAAAAAAAAAAAAAAAAAAAACAAACAGGAAAGTGTTGACATTGCATGTCATGGCCTTTTTCTAGCATCCCATCATGGAAGAAGTTCATTAATGCCTTTAAATCTAATCAAATCAAAGATTTAAACCCACATATCCCAGAACTGTTCAGAAAACCTATCTTCAGGGCTCTGGCAGCTCTTGCAAAATACTTTTAGGATCATCCAAGTCTCAGTCAGAAAAGAAAAACTACCAGTGGTCAAATATAAACAAGAGCTTATTGTAGAGACAGGACATTCAGTAATGTTGGGAGCTGGGTAAACTGTCTGTGTGAAGCTGTTGCTTATATTTCTAATCCTGGTCCTCAAGGCAATAGTGAGGAAGGAAATATAAACTGGAATCTGCAGGAATATGCTGGAACTCAAGAAAACATTCTCCCTTCTGGCACTGGTGGCTCATGCCTGTAATCCTAGCTACTCAGGAAGCTGAGATCTGAGGATCGTGGTTCAAAGCCAGCCCAGGCAGTAAAGTCCATGAGACTCTTATCTCCAGTTAACAACCAGAAAACCAGAAGTGGAGCTGTGACTCAAAGTGGTAGTGTGCTAGCCTTGAGCAAAAGAGCTCAGGAACAGTGCCCAGGCTCTGAATTCAAGCCCCACAACCAACAACAACAAAAAAAGGAAATCAAGCCTAAAGAGATTGGCCTTGTCAATGCACAAAAAGAGAGATAGAGAAAGAAAGGAGAGAAAGGAAGGAAAGAAGGAAGGGAGGGAAGAAGGAAGAGAGGAACGAAGGAATGAAGGAAGGGAGAGAGAAAGAAAAGAAAGACAGAAAGAAAAAAAGAAAAAGAGAGAGAGAGAAAGGAAGAATGAAAAAAAAAGATTGATTTACTCCCGGGGTCTCAGTTTTCTAATCTATAAAATGGAAAACAGGTCAGTGGCTCATGCTTGTAACCCTAGCTTTTCAGGAGATGAGATCTAAGGATTGCATGAGCCATGGGTGCTGGGCCAATTAAGCCCCCAAAAAGCTGGAAGTGGAGCTGTGGCTCAAGTGGTAGAGTACTAGTGTTGAGAGAAAAAAAAAAAGCTCAGGGACAGTGCCCAGGTACTGAGTTCAAATCACCAGGACCAGCACCAAAAAAAAAA